AAAGAGTAACAAAGATCCATACAAACGTAAGATTAAAATTAAAAGCGTAAGTGGTTAATATACAACTTAAAAGCGTTGTAGATCCTAAACAATCATATAAAATGAAAAATGGTAACCTAAATATGATTTTTGATTATCTAGACAGTGATACCCCACTCGATATATTTTGTCAACTTTTTTTTTTTACTTCGTCACAATATGGCGCCTAATTTTGCCCATATTGAATTTTGATTACTATCATATCATTAGTAGCACTCCCATGATTGAGACGAATCGATTGATGTATGAATCATCAAAATCGGTCCAGGCGTTTGGTCTCTAGTGTGCCACAAAGGAACAAACATACATATATAGACTGTTAAACACATAACCCTGTCTGCGCGTCGCGCTTCGCGCTCTTGCTTTGCGCAGCCGGGTAAAAAGGCGTAGGTCGGATGAGAAAATTACGTAGAATTAGTAAAATTTGCATATGAAAAGTTCGTAGATCTACGTATTTTTTTCTGAGTGAAATGAAGAAGTTAGGATAGGTGAAACCGAATAAAACGAGTATTATGTTGTACAGTTTATTTAAAAAAGGGAGACATAACACAGATTTTTTAGAGAAGACGCTGCATTGGCAGCATTTACTATGCTGTGGTAGACATTTACCATCAGATAGACACTGGTGGGTATCGATTCAGGCGTGATTCTCTAAACTTAAAACTAAATTTAACATCAGCCTCTGCTTTTCGTTCTGTATAGAAAATGACAAGGATACACTGTTGTCAAATAGGCTAGTTCACACTTTTTGGAAATATGTTTTAAATAACAAACTACAAATAACAAACAATATAACGATGTTATATTAATTAAATAAATAAATAAATAAATGGTTAATAATTGTTCTATTACACCGAAAAAAATGGATTGTATTTTTTTTGAGTAAGCTACAAAACTTTCATTTTAAAATATATTTTTCATGGATATAGAAAAAGCTGTTGGTCATTTTAGTCTATAGCTTTATGTATGCTAAGACGTCAAAACATTTGTAAACAAACACTCGCATCATGGTTTTATAAATCGTTAAAGACTCCAGAAAAGTTGTGGTTTAAATTGCCTAGAGAAATAACCATACCTACACATGAACACATGTCTAAAACTTGCTAAATCCTATAACTTTATATCTTTATATCCCACTTTTTCATTTCTTTTTGCAAAGATCACTTCGTTGTAAGTACTCATTGAATAATATTTAAAGTTTAAAAATATTTTTTTAGGGTTATGAATGTACATAAGTCAAAGAGATATTATTTCTGCTTTCACCAATCCGGCGTCCAGCATTAATTTAGTCAACAAAACCAATAAACGGAAACGTTTTTTACAAGATATAAGAGCTTTCAGATATACATATTTTAGTCCCACTAAAGAAACCACAGTAACAAGAAAATGACGTTTAGTTGTTTACAAATTTTGTGACATCACAATCATGGTGGACAGCGTTTTAAGTGTTTAAAAAGTATAGACTAAAAACAAATGTTCAAATTAAATTACTACAGCTATCTTCTAATTTTATGCAGTGAAATCGATATATTTAGGTTCCTCATACCAAAAATTATAAGATATAAACTTTTGTATGGTTTTTCAGTAAAGTAACAGAAAATATGCTTCTTCATTCTAGTGAGTTATGATATTTTTCAAATTTGTACAAATTAAAAGAAAATACGTAGATTCTGGGACTGAAGTTAGTAGGTTAGCAGAAAAGGCCTAAAATACGTAGATCTACGTAAAAAGACGTAGAGTTGGCAACGTTGACTGGTAGGTCCTTAAATCCCCATTCGTCCGTTTGTCCGTCCGTATGTCACAGCCACTTTTTCATTTTATATTACGTTTGTAGGATATTTCTCTTTTTCCAAAAAATACGGAATGGATTTTAATGAAACTTAAGAATAATATAGCTGATACTTATTATTAACATATACATAATAATTTATGTAGCTATTGAGTGAATTGGCCAAAATATAACAATAAGTGTCACATAAGACGGAAAAAATCTCCCATGTGCGAGCCATTTTTGCCACACTGCAAAAACAATAAAAGTTACATGAATATCATGTATAGTGGAATTGTATCTCTAAAACAGTTCTACAAAAAAGTTCGCGGCAGCATATATCTTTTTTTAATGTGTAAGCCATTATCGCTATAATAGTGAATGACAAATAAAATATTATTTTATATCCATTTCCAAAATGCAAATTTTGTATTATCTAATTATTTTTTCTAGTAATATTTTCTTTAGATGTAAATATCGAGCAGTATGTAACTGCTTAAAAATTAAAATTATAAATTATTTTTTACCAAAACAAATACATTATCGCTATTGTTATTTTTAAAGACGATAAACTTTGCCTTTTACACTGTCATTTCGACAAATATTTAAAAAGTTACAACGATGACAAAGTCATTGCGCGGTGTACTATGCAGGAGTAGACTACGGGAATAGTGGGCGAAGGAATTTTCATGAATTATGATGTTATAAAATGTAGATAAAACTTAGGAGGACAAGAAAATGGGCTATTCGCAGTATCTTATCCTATACGAAGTACTTACAATAAAACTGTGATAATATTCCTTCTTATTAAATGATAAAAAATAAATTATCATAATAAGTATTTATGATTATTAAAATTTAATGAAAAACTCAGAATCCCTATGTTTTATTTTAACAATATTACTTCTTCTACAGAAAATTTTACTAGAAAAAATTTCACGCGGTGCGAAGAATGTGGTACGCGTGTTTTTTTTTTCATTTAAACATCTAGTACCTTAAATGCTTAAAAATATAAAATATAACGATATTACTTACTTCATGTCACTAAAGGATTATTTTACGTAATGAGAAATAACCTATTATTCGCTAGTAAGTACATCATCATCATCAGCCTAATAATGACCCCACTGCTGGGGCACAGGCCTTCCCTATGGATGGAATAGGGAGATTGGGCCGTGACCCACCACGCGGGCCCAGTGCGGATTGGCGGGTGCTAACGACTGCAGATGCAGCCGGTACCAACGGCTTAACGTGCCTCCGAAGCACGGAGGAACTCGAGATAGAAAATATTTGGCCACCCATCCAATGACCGACCACTGCGAAAGTTCTTCAACGATCGCAGCCGAACGCACTAACCACCTGCGCCATCGAGCTCCTCAGTAAGTACATACCCGTACTTAATGGGCTCCCTTTCTTTATTAATCAGGTCGCGATAATATTAATTATACTAGTGTACTGCCCCGGCAATGCACGGGCGAAATTTATTTTAACGGACTAATGTACTCGGATATAATGTACTTTTATAGAAAATTTGTACTAGAAAAAATCCGTCTTGGAGAAGTGGTCACAGTGGATTTTTTTCAAGTAAAAATTCACTAAAGATTTTGTAATCGACCAGATTATTCAACGATATCGAGAATTAAAGGCTGAAAATATAATAAAAAATGTAGCTACCTCATGGTGAATAGTTTTCGAAATCGGTTCGGTAGTTTGAGACATTTCTTACAAACATACAACTCTAGACTCTTTATAATATTGTTAAAGATGGTTAGTATAATAATATTTAATTGATAAAAAAGATTTAAAATAAACTAATTAATAGGTTTATTTGATTATATTTGTAAAAGTTACTTAGCATTTTACGACGACCTCCGTAGCCGAGTGGTTTGTACGCCGGGTTCAATGGTGTCGCCGACTTGAAAGGTCCCGTGTTCGAATCCCGGTGGGGCAGATGTTTGTGTGATGAATACGAGCATTTGTACTCCAGTCATGGATGTTCAATATGTATTTCTATAAAAATATACTTATATATGTACAGTATATGTATTCTATTCGTTACCTTAGTATTCCATAACACAAGTCTTACAGTGCTTACCTTGGGGCTAGGCTAATTGGTGTGACTGTTGAAAATATTTATTTATTTTTTAATATTTTTGTTATACAGCTGTATTATTTTGTTTATCGGTAGAAGAAAAAATTTCGAAAATAATTGCTATGTTCGCATCATTTGCAATACCTTCTAGGCTGGTAGAAGCCTGATTGATAAGTCGAAGTGCTCTTTATTCGAGCTTTACTCTACCAATAAAAAATGGTAGACCAGAAAGACCTGTAACTGGTGAACGCTTTAAAAGAGAACGACAAAGATGTAAATCTATACATTGGGTGATAAATTGATTTTAAATGAGATTGCTATGGTGCTGTACCGAACAGAAAAATTGTATTCTACGCCTTTAGTTTAATCAAATATTATAAACTTTACTTTGGTGATTGTTATATTGTAATTATTTAAGTTAGCGATCTAAAGCAGTTGCCACCAGTGTCCAAAACAACATTGGAATTATGGCTTTTGTTAACCTTCGACATTAATATATTTGGTTTCTGTGAATTATGTAGGTAGTCCTATCTGTAGCCTTGACCTTGGTGGTAAAGTCTATGTCATAATAAATCAATCGTTTACACCACCGCAAGGTACTTAATAATCTCCGCGATATAAGTCTCTTACTCAAGTGACAAGACTATATACCTTCTTATAATCCTAACTAAAAGTGTAAAATAAGAAAGGTAAATTTAAAAAATCAAAAACCCCGTCTTCTTAAATATTACTTCAAATAATTACTGAAAACATAAAAAAAATAGTCCTGTAGCCTACATATAGAGTGTACCTGTTAAGTAAGGAACAAAACTACTTTGATATTCGGGACCCATTAGATATTCTAGAATAAATCATTTTTTTCAATAATGTGTCCCGACTGTTAAAGTAGCTTTGTTCCTTACTTAACAGGATTATGTACTACTGGACTTGTTTTTTTCTTTTCAGTTTTTATTTGGAGTAATATTAAAGCAGTCGGGTGTTATTGGGTTTTTATTTTATATTACTTAATAAGATACGCATTCTTCCTATAAAACAACTCGATGGTTGCGAAACAAAAAATGCAAATTTGTTTAAGACGCTTTGGTATTTTAGTTTAATAAAAAAAAAACATTTATATTTTGTTGTTGGTATTATTCTGAGACAACTTTAAAAAATAATGAACGTGAGTAATTCCACTTCCTAATCGGAAATAGGTACCTTCTCATTGCGTCAAGGGTGGAAATACATTTTGAATGATTCACCTATCTGTTCTTCGTATAATACGCTTATCAGAAAGTATTGCATCGAAAACAACGTTCACTTAATATTATCTGCCACAGAGATAAGCATGGCTTGTTCATTGCCGTTTTACTAATAAACAGGTTGCAAATTGTATTTTTATATAAATGTCAATAAAATTTTATTAAATTTATAGTAATACAAAAAAGGTACCACATTAATAAAAAAGAGAGCGCCGTAAAGTTGTCAAGCGGTTCGCTAACTCCGGTATTTTAAGGGAAAAGAAACTTTTGAAAGATTATGGATATCTTTTCAGTCACCCATTTCATGATAGGATTTGTCTTGTGGAAACTCTATTAAAGCAAACATAACTAGGATAAATAAATAAATCACATCACTGGAAAAAAGAGAAGAAATAAATATAATAAAAAAAAACATAACTAGGAACCAGATTTTTACGCATCAATATAAATAAAAATATAACATTTACAGAGCCTAATACAGACGGTATCATAAGTACGCTGAATCGATACTTCACCGGGACTCAAACCTAAAACCTCAAAATTGGCATTGAAACAAGTATAAATAGGTACTGCAAGCTTGCTCTCTTTGGATACTGAGGTAGAATTAAAGCTAATGTAAAACCAATAACATCTAAAAACGTTAATTTGAAAACCCTTTAAACAGGGCGACGTATTTTAGGACAAAGAATTTGGCGCACCTATCGTACCTACTTGCTATCTTATCATATCTACAGTTGATAACACCATATCAATGGGCACACGGTACACACTCACTCCAGTCGCTCAACACAATTGAGAAGCACCTGTTGTAGTAGAAGAACTGATAAAAAAGCTGATAACAGAAGTATAAAAAATAATGTGATTAAGGATTACACTAGACTTTAGACAATGGGTGTGAAAATTAAATTAGTTTTAGCAGCTTTACTAGTGATAAGTGCAAGTGTTTTGGGACAGGATGTTATCGTTAGTGAAACCGAACGGACTGTAAATGACGACATCAATACGCAAGATATTCTCGTACCAGTGCCAAATCCAGGTGTGTCCCAGGAAACCGTAGAAAGTGCACCAGAACCCGCACCAGTACAAGACGAAATAGTCAAAGAAAATGAGGACGAAAAACCGGTTGAAGTAATATCAGAAACGCAACCGTTGCAGATAAGAAGTGGGAAGTATCAGCTTTCAGACGACGCTTTGGTGGCTGAACAGCCTACTGAGCTGGAAGCTGTGAACATCGCACCCAACGGAGAGCAAAGCGAGAGGCAGTTGGAATATCCTTATCCTACAGAAGTGACCAGCGAATATGGTATGTGTCATACCCATTTTCAAATTTCGAATTATGTATATTCAATGCTACGCTTTTTTTTCTTGTTGATTGCACCTTGTTAAATATTAAGTGAGAATGAAGTTTAGTTACGAAAACAGCTCGTGTTGCGTCAGACACCATAAGCTGGCTAGAACACTAATACTTAAGAAATAAAGTTACACTAACTCTTTAAAAAATTGGAACATACGTTTAAAAGTAGAGGGGGGCGTAAAAAATGACATCACCGATAAACAATGGCCGATGGACGCCATCTTGTTATAAATAACTCAACAGTACTTAGACCGTTATTATTATGACTCATTAGGTACATATATATGAGTCGTTTCTGTTTCAATCTTAGCCAGTTTTAATCTTTGTACATTTACGATGACTCATGTTCTAAACTTGTCGACAAATTCAGAAAGACAATCTTCGAAAATGTAAGCATTGAATAGAATGCAAAGCTGTTTGTTCATATAATATTTTGACAGTTTGCAATCACACTTGATTTCGCAGATTATAATGTTAACTATATTAAAATATACGGTAACATATATAAATACTGGATTGAACATAATGTTTATTCAGTGCACACATTACGAAATACTATGCAAACTCTGACTCAGAATCGTGTGCCATTGTATAAACACTAAATTTACTTGGTTCATTCGCTATTATGGTTTCACTATACCTGTGAAAGTGTGCAACAAATTACTCTTCTACCTGATACAGCCGCAGATACTGTGGCAGAGCGTCTGCCACCCCAACAGTCATCACGTTGTTAGTGACACCAAACACCAAACACGACACCACCAAAATATTTTATTTTTCACTGTGGTCTCCTGTAAGGTGGAGGCTGCTTCTCCAGAAGGGCGTTTTAATTCGAGCGGTAAATCAGCTGAACCCTTATATTAAAACAAAATCAAAGGCTGTACACTACCTCTCTTAATTCTTGTAATTGTATTTCTGTTACAAACAATAACGTAGTAGGAATCTTTTGTTTAATCGATAGATATCGCAATATGTGCCACGAAAAGGGTGACATGGTTGTTGACATGGTTTCGGACTCATAAAACTATATAAATGTACATGCCATGGATGTTTAATATGTACTTTCTAAGTAAATATACTCATACCTATATGTATCATTATATGTATTCTACCCGGTACCATAGTATCCCATAACACAAGCCTGCAGTGCTTAATTTGGGGCAGTCAGTCGTGTTTTTTAATTCTTATTATCGCGTGAAATCCATCTATCTGTGACTCTGAAAACATCAGAAACACTACAAAAGCGCGGGAGCCCCATTAGCACCCTGAATGTATTGTTGTTCTGCACACGCAAGTCGCTTTATGCTCTCTGCGATTAATTCACCCACAGGCTGCAATTGTAAAAAGATTGACAATGTATGCTTTAGTATAATAATAGTGAGACTTTTTAACCAAGTAAAAGCTAAGCACATTCGGCTGTTCTATAAAACATGTAAAATGGTCTCACATACGATATTAGTCAAAAGTTTTACTCTAAAGCGAGTAAAAATCAACTTGTCTGCGTCCTACGAGCGAGCCTTCGAGTTGTGAGTCGGTCCACATGTTGATTTGCTCCGTCATTGATGTGGCCTTTTAATCACACTAATATTATAGAGGCGAAAGTTTGTGAGTGTGTATGTTTGTTACTTCATCCCGTCAAAATGACTGGAGCGATTTTAATATAAGTTGGTATGGAGTTAGCCGACACCCTGGATTAAAACATAGGGTACGTCTTACTGAAGGAAAATGTCCCTAATAAACCGCGGGGCACAGCTAGTTCTTAATAAGTTTATAGAACACCTGAATAAGTTTAATGCATAGTATGATTCAAACTTAACCTAGGTACTCAGGTAGGTAGCATTCAAGTTATTGAGGTTATAATTCGCTGTTTTTACGAGTATGATATCAGAACGTTATCAATGATAAGGACCGCACCTTAGCACAAGTATATATAGTATATGTCAACTAATTACAACACCCGTTTGGAGGTAAACCATGTTTCAAATCTAAATTGTTTGATTACGTTCTTACAATTACTATCAAAAAGTCCAAAGGCAAAATATCTTTATTCAAATTGGATGCAAAATACAAGTCTTTTGAATCGTCCATATTTTTTTCCCTACCTGGTGGTACCTGGTTAAGGACATTTTTTTTAGCTGTGGAGAAAAACTGGCGAAAAAAACTTCACAGCGTTTAATAATTATGTAATAATATTTGCAAAAAATTACATTGTTACGATGTCAACACAAAATCATTTCATCTTCATCATAATTATAGAAAAAGCCGGAACGTTAAGAACAGTTTAAACCCAAGCATTTATGTCTGAAATATAATCAGACACTTTAAAATAAGCTATAGTAGGAGAGCCCAAATAGGGATTTTTGGATTTACTCGTACGCGGTAGAATAACATAAGGGGGCAACCTTGCAACCTGTGAAGTATTCTCACCATACCTGAGCCCTCTACCGAACAGCTAGGGTAGCAATAAACAAAATTTCAACAACGATCATGACTGTTGTTTGCGTTTAAATCGTTAGTCATTTGAATAGGAGCTACTGGAGGGTTCTCGTAACATCCCTTCTTAATGTCTGACGCGCTTGATTATTTCCCTTTATTATACTTCTTAGTATAGTCACCTCCACACCATGCAAATTGGCAGATCAATATTTTTCCTGAAACGTTTTTAAAAATTACGTGTACGCTCCAGTAAAGCTTCTATTCTATTTGAACGGAACGGAACGGAACGGACTTTTTTTGCTGCCCTAGACGTTCGGCCCTAGATGACGGCTCAGGTATGATGGGAGTATGTACTTCCAAAAGTACAAGGTCCCCCCTTGCGTTATTCTGCCACGCTCGAGTAAATCCAAAAATCTCAGCGTAGGTTCCCCTACTAATACGAACTACGAACAAATATTAACCAAGAAATAGGATTCCTAAATTAATGCTGTAGAGTACGCTACCATTTTATCAAAAACTAAAAAGTTTCTTGTTATTTTTAAATATTAAACCAGTAATTTTCTTAAAAAAAAATATCAACATTAATGAGTAATTTTATTAAAATGATTGTTATTTACGTTATTCGTTATACCTAGGTATATCAATAATGTTTTTATCAATAACTTTATCTCCTACTAAGTATACCTTTATGGAACTTTAAAAATATCTTTGGCATTTTGTCCATTATGAATCCCAGCATCATGATAAGTACACAGAGGAAAATTGTAAATTGTAGGAATGGATCTTGTGTCTGAAATAAAAGTATATTATTATTATAGAAACTTTGTTCAGAATTTCTATTCTCCTCTGTTCCTTTTCTCTTTACTTATTATTTAATTCCTCACTTTTGCCATTTTGTACATTTGCTTTGGAAGATCTTTTATTGATAAGAATTAAAAAATACATGTAGTCTTTCTCATATCTTTTCTTTGTTACGAACTTCACGAGTTGATTAAATTATCATTTTTTATTTTAAGTTGATTTCTAAGAACGCATATCTAGAATATGATAAAACATTTATATTTCATAAGAATTGTCAAGCAAGTATTTATAAATATTTTTTATTGCAGTATAATAATAATATCTAATCTCCAAAACTCACAGAATGAAATTATGCAATATTAAGAATTTCCTATTTCAAAACATACAAAAATTTAAAACTCCTTATTTCTTAACCAGTTTGATTACTTATTTCAATACTTATGTACTTTCTAAGTAAATGCTGCATTTTAGGTCTTTAATTGTCTATCTCTTAAATACCTACCGGTCTATGATTGCTTTACTTGTAGAGGAACTTTAAGAAACTGAACATGTTATCGTTGAAAATATTAAATGTGCTCAAATTACATCAAATCTCTAAAAACTAGAATATTTTGAGTTGTTAAGTAGTAATTGGGTTAGAAAAAATTTTATATTTTGGTTTGGTGGCAAGTTACAATAGCTCTTTAGATCGCAGTGAGAATAGTTTAATTAGGTAGGTATATGTAGATTTCAAAAATATATTATAATGGTACTGCAATAAGATAATAATATTTTGAAACTACTACAACTAACCAATACTACTAAAATAAAGTTACTTCTTTTTCTAAAAAAAACTAATTTCGACTTTTATTGAAATTTAGAAGGCAAGTATTGAATATTTAAAATAAAACAAAAAATGCTCCTTTTGTACATTGTAAGTGTTTTATTAGTACATTACTTAGGCTCGTTGTGATTTTAATTTGTGAATTAACTAAAACATAAGAAAGAACACTATTATATAGATTCCTAAAAAGTTCGTCACTATTATTTCATGAAACATCATTCTGTCGTCATAGCATTACTATCTTTGTTAAACATTGCGTAATCCCCTTAACAAGTGACTGATTCATGAATTAATAAAAAAAATGTTGCTTTTATATGATGGTAGATAAAAGTGATGCAATGGCTTTGGTACTTAATTCCATTAGCTGTGGTTGTGTTTTGAACCCCAAAAAAATCGTTTTAAACGGTTGAAAACTGGCATACAAAAATAAAAGAACTATGTTTTTTACACTTCATTATGGTCAATTTTTGGTCACCTGACGTCATGTTTCGTTTTACCACGGTAATAATATCATACAGTATTTTATCTTCATACAAACGGTCGGACAGCGAGTCATACCTACGCCACTCGAGTTCGACGGGCTCTCGGCGGGCACCTAGTCGCGAATGCGCCGCCGCGCTGCGACGACGACCGAACGGTGTGAATTGTTTTTTATGCAGTTAGCCGGGGCCTAAACGTGCGTTTTGTATTGTAAATATTTGATTGAATTAAGTAGATACCTTGTACGTAATTTGTTTCTAATATTTAGGTATTTCGATTTTTCCACCGGGCAAAATATCTGGAATAATATATAAATAAGTAGTTAGGATGAAAAAAGAGACAAACGAGTAATCTACCTACACTCGCGTTAAAAATAAAACTACATAAAATACTGTAGGCGGGCGGCCCTACCGCGTGCTAACGCAGCGCTCGGCCGTAGGCATTTATTTCAAGGACAGGGCGGAGTCACAATACTGTATAGATAATATTACCGTGGTTTTACTTAGTAGGTATAAAGAAAATCAATAGAAAGTACCTACGTACATTACCTAGGTACCACGAAAACTTAAGTAGGTATGTAGGTACCTTCACACTTAAGCACTTATTTAATATACATTTATTATATAACACACACTAGATTAAAGTAAAAGACATCATTAACACAATGCTAACATTTACCAACATTTTTTTCATATTTTTTTTGGTGTTGACATCATCAACACCAACTGTTTCAAAAAGAAAAAAATGGTTTATTTCGGTTTTAAACGTTTTTTTTCGTTTTAAACGGATTGGGTTATTTGGTTTTAAACCGGTCTTACATCTATAGGTAGGGCAGACCATGACCTAGGCGTGTCGGGGTTGAGCAAGTCGGTTCTGAATTAAAGATTGTTGTAAAGCCACATTTACCTTTTTTTCTAAGTGTTGAGCCCATACTATTATTTACCAAGTAAATAATAGCAAATATAATTTTTACCGACGAAAACAGACTAATGGATCTCAAAACAAACACAAAATTGCGGTATATCTGGCATTTTGACAATAGTACCAACTTAATAAACATATTTTTACCATAGACAACGAATAACATGTTATTTTTGCATGAAAAAATGGCAGTACTGATCAAAATAGCTGTCAAAATTGACTTTAACCTACAAAAATATTAATTTTCAATATTTTTTTTCTCAAATTCTATTCGTTTCCGCGTAAAAAGCTGTCGTGCACGTGTTTCTAATAATTAATACTTTACATGACAAAAATTTCAGCTCGCAACTCCACCACAGCTAATGGAAAGCTGAGCCATGTTTTTTTTTATTTACATACTAGCTGTGGCCCGCGAAGTTACTCGCGGTTTATTAGAGATTTTTTCGCACAGTAAAACATAGCCAAATTTTAATCCAGGGTGACAGCTAACTTCGTACCAAATTTTATTAAAATCGCCCCAGCCGTTTATACATAAAGAAGTAACAAACATACACACTCACAACCTTTCGCCTTTATAATATTAGTGTGATGAACCAACTAATCTGAATATTTTGCGCACAAGTATGTCTCACATTTGGCACATAGTCTATGTTTTTTCCAAAGGTTGACTGGCAGAGAAAGCTTTGAATAAATAAAAAATATAAATAAAGCGTAGGGTCAAAGGACCCTCAAATAAAGAATTCACAACAGAAGCTGTTGTTAAATAAATGACAACTGCTGACAGCACACATTAATATCAAGAGTAGCTCCGTTTTAAAAAAAAAATTACAATCTTTGTCTTCAAAATTGTCATCATAATTATCCATTTTATTATAATGAAATAGCAATAAATACAGTAAACAAAGAGGCTAGCGAGGCTTTGCTTCTGACTTCACTTTAGCAGGAATTAACCGAGCTGTCCGATATACGCCGGTATCTTATCATTTATCGTGATCGAACCCATCCACTTCACCGCAATTGAACGCTTTGGTTGGAATATTGTGGCAAAATCATTTAAATACTTACTATTTCGCTTAATTTAGCCACGATTCTTAGGTTAACGTTGAAAATCAAAAAAGACCTTAATTATTTTGAAAAATAGGCAAAGTTCTAGTTAATAGTAAAATACTTTTTTTTAAATACAATACTACTAGTGTACCGCGATTTCGTCTGCGTGGAAAAAATCCCATACAAACTTCAACCCACCTTTACACCCCCTCAAGAGGTGATTTCTAAGGATAAAAACTATCTTATGTCCTTTACCGGGACTCAAAGTATCTCTATACCAAAATTCAACTAAATCGGTACAGCGCGGCGGTTTAATTGTGAAGAGGTTATAGACAGACAGAAAGAAAGACACACTTTCGCATTTATAATAATTATTACTAGCAGCCACCAACGACTTCCTCCGTGTAAACTTTAGTTTTTAGATTATATCTGAGAAACCCGACACTTTTCCGGGATATAAAGAATCCTGTGTCTCAATGCAGGTAGGTTATAAAACATATGTGTACCAAATGTCATGCAAATACGTATAGTAGGTAGTTTTGGCGTGATTGAGTAACAACCATACAAACTTTCACATTTATAATACAATCAACCGCAAAGAAAACCTTTGTCACCCTGTCATACCTTGGAACTCTGATTCGATTTTCTCAACTTAAAACTATCAAAGTTTTACAGAAAGTGCGTTTCATGATAATTAAAATGAGTAAAATGTTATTCTAAAGTATTGTCAACTTCTGTGTACTAATCATTATTTACGGTCATTGGATGGGTGACCAAAAATCTTCTATCTCAAATTCCTCCGTGCTGCGGGAGGCACGAACGATTTCTTTGCGTGTATTAGTAGGAAATAGGATAGTACATGAATGTACATTCCTCCTTGCTTAGAACTATTAATAAGATTGGCGAGATCTAAGCTAAGCTAAGTTGCTTTAGCAAAATTTACATGTATAGGGGTATATTCAACCGAACGTTAACGCTAAACTCAAAGTATTAACTTATACTTCTTCATAAAATTCCAGCTCACATCGACGGCCGAGTTCTTCCGTCTATCACGTACCGGAACAATGGACAGGCCTACGTCATTACGAACCAGCGGCTCGCGCAGATCAGATCCAACTTCCTCTACTGGTTCTACGACATGGGAAACGAGAACGAGAAATTCGGCGACTATCAGAGGGATATCCACACCTCCACACCACAGATCCATAAGAATTTCAACTTTCAGCTACCGTTCTTTGGGTTTAGATTCAATTACACTAGAGTAAGTTTATCCAAGTAACTCTTTAAGAACCTTTTTATCCACAAACTTCACTCCCTATGATGATTCTGTTAATAATACCGGTGCCCTAGCAGTGTGGAATTAGTAGCATGAAGCTTACGAGGAGCTATTTGATGTGAAACATCTATCGGTGCACGTAAAACCGATTTCGCCGCCACGCTTTATCATTATTTCGCCATGCACAATCGAATTAGATTTTTGTATTTAATGAAAATAAATGTTTAATAAATAAACAGTCATCATTTTAGATGATTCTGGAGAAGATTAGATTCTGGAAAAAAATCGTAATATTTTATTTTATCGTTATGCTATATCTAATTCCTTTCGCAATCTGTTCTTTTCTGCATATTATTTTTACAAAATAATGTCGATGTTTCACATCTGCCAGGCCTCCCCTGACGGCTCACATTTTTTTATTCTTAAGACACGACTTGTTCCAATTTCAGTGTAGGCTTGTAAAGTCGAAAATCTATGTCATCATACTTAAGTCTACGTCAGTAAGACACAGGTTGTCCCAATTTCAGTCTAGGCTTATAATGTCGAAAATCAATCTCACCGATTCTTAAATCTTCGACTTCTACAAACGTAGTTACAAAAAACTTAGCAAACAATTGACTACTTTTTTTCCTTTTTCCTTTGAAACTTTCAAAATCTTCATGATATCTAAAGGTTTTATAATTTGGCCATAGTATGAAAAATATTTTACTCAAAAGTAACCTTGCTTTTCAGCTTTCCATGAACGGATACATCTACTTCAGTGATCCTCCAGATCATTATACGTATCCCCTTTCATTCCCGACGAGGGACTGGCCTAACGTGAACGATCCTTCATTCATCGGCATCTTCTTCAGCAAATGTCGTATCGGCAACATCCGCCCTGATGACATCGATCAGAGGAGACCTGGTGTCTACTTTAGATTGGACAGAGATTTACAGGTACTGCAAAGTTTTGTATCAATCCTCAGTATTATAATTTTCTCATAATGCATAAACTTCATTAATTATTCTGCAGTTTGGACAGATACAATATTTTCAATTCTTAACTGAAATTCGTAATACTATATTCATTTAAGAGAATTGTTTCTAATGTCAGAATATATTTATTTGACAATGTTTTAGACGAGAAAAGATCAGTTGGGAGTTGAGATGCGTGAACGAGTAACCTGGGATATTCGTGAAGGTGTGATCGGATCTGAGAATTTCTTCCCCAAACATGCCATCACCATCACGTGGAAGAACATGTCTTTCGCTGGTGGTATCGATAACTCCTTGTTTGTGGTAAGCATTATTGACTTAAATTAAAATAAAACTGTACTTATTATGACGGAATTGGATATTACGCATTTTTTAACTACATTAGGTTCTTGAAAGTTGACGAGTACATTCAGTGTAATCTGTGGTTTCGCATTATAGAGGTGATGTTCCCAGGCAGTAGATTTACGCGTTAGTTACAAAACAAAATATCAAGGCTTTGAAAACAATATTTTGCACTATTTTTTTTATAAAATACGTTGATTTGGCATTAAGTTATGTCACTTTTTCTTATTTTCGAAAAATAAAAAATTCCAGCAAAATTAGATTAATTTTGTAGATGTTGAAATCCACTCCTATAGAAGTTTTGAAGGTTAAACAAAACGATCGATTATTATTTCTTATCTCCAAATAAGTCCTATGTCTTTATTTGTTTCTTAGGTTTTCACGCACATCACTCATTAAATAAAACTAGCTTTTACGGGTTAATGCACGAAACTTTATTTATTTATTGACGTTTCGCAGCCTTTTCAGGTCTGCATCGTCAGAATAATGATTTTTTATTTAAAATTGTCGAGCTACCTTCGAAAGACTTATATTGAGCGTTCGGTTATTTCATTGGAAGATTTTTAAAATTTTATTGTCTATGTATGAATTTATTATTTAATTTACTTAATAAAGTATTTTATTTAAAATTCTTGTTTGTAATTTTGAGTTTATTTATTTGACCCTAACTACCGTAAACTACCACCGGTTCCAAAATTGGGAGACCTTCCTGAGAAGAACCGGCGAAACAAACTCAAGAGAGGCTTTCTATCTCCTTCTTATGTTAAATTATGCAAACAAAAAGAACTAATAGTATCTGATGGTCTTGCAGTGTGTGCTCGGGGTTGGGATTTTATCTCCTGTATAATAGGTTCCCAAGCTGGTGGTATATACCAACCATCTTCCCTATTGAAATTTGGATATTTTTTAATCTCAATAGCCTCGCGCATCATTCGAGGAACGAACCGCCGCTCAGCTGCAAGGATCTGTGGTCTATCAAAGTCCTATGTCGTTGATATGATGCAATAAAATGTATGTATTATTTTCAGACAAACACCTTCCAAATGGTATTGGCTACAGATGAAGTGTTCACTTACGCTATTTTCAATTATCTTGAAGTCAATTGGATCTCACATACAGAAGCGGGTGGTGATACAACTACTGGCGAGGGCGGTGTACCAGCATATGTAAGTTATTTCAGACTTACTATACTTACGCTGGCTTACGTTATCACCGACTTACAGTGGCCACTATTCCTACACGAACAAAGAAATTTGGTGACTCATTTATTTTTAAGTGGAATTCTTTGCCTGCGCAAGTGTTCCATCCTTCCTATAATCTCGGGTCCTTTAAGAGAGGCGTGAAAAAGCATTTTTGTAGGCCGGCAAGGTGAGGATGGTTTGTGTAGCAGTTTATAACTGCTGTACCAGCTATCTTCGCGTTTGGACTTTATCACCACTTAACATCAGGTACGATAGAGTCATTAGCCTGGCTATAAAATAAATTATTGTTTGCTCACAGCACTTTGATATATTTCGGGAACTGTAACTTCGTGATTATGGGGTTTGTAACAGTGCCGAAATATCGGGAACTCGCAAAAGACAAGGGGCATGATAGTAATCCCGCTAATAACTATGTTAGTGACCATGAAAATTTAAAACATTATTTTTCGTAGAATTTTAACAACACTAACAAATAAATCTTACTCCTTTTTTTATAGATTGGATTCAACGCTGGTAACGGAACTCGAAGCTACGAATATAAACCATACTCCCAAGAGTCAGTTCTACGTGATCTTACTGGCAGAGGTTGGGCCAATGGTTTCCCTGGTCGCCACATCTTCCGAATCGATGAAAACATACTCATGGGCACATGTAACAAAGATATTGGTATGAAACGCATTTTTTTGTGAATAATTTCCTTTTCTTTTGTGTATTCGTGAAATATTAAATGATAAAAATATCACCAGATGGCGCTAACTTACCGCTTATGTTTGCACCGGAGAGCGGGAGTATGCTGGGTGGAACCGTCGTGAATATCACGGGACCCTGCTTCAATCCCAACGATCGTATCACATGTCGCTTCGACACGGAGTCCGTGGTAGGGGCAGTGGTAGACGTCAACAGAGCTGTTTGCGTCCAGCCGAGATTTTATCACAATGGATATGCTAGGTTCGAAGTCGCCATCAACAATGAGCCTTTCAAGTGGAAAGGCAGGTTTTTCGTAGGTAAATATTATTAAAATCGTTCTCAAAATGTTGGATTCTCTTATTTTTGTAATATAGAATAAATATAAAAAAAAATATTCTTACAGAAACACCAGCGACTGCCACCGAGAAAATATTCTTCCCAGACGATGCCATCCACCAAAGAAATCCACCAGAAGTCAAAATCACTTGGAATCGTTTCAACTTGACCACGAACCTAAACGTTCACCTACAGATCAGCTTGTGGGGCTACAAGGAGGTCACAATCAGGCCTCAGTTGGAATTCATAGACATGATCGAGAGCGGGGTAGCCAACACAGGAGAATACATCATTAACCCTCAAAACTTCAGAAACAGAGATAACATAATGCATAATGACATGCAATTTGGTTTCATTCAAATCAACTTGACAACTCCTGAAGTATACAAAGGAATCTCAATTTCACCGTAAGTATTTTTAAACTAGTAAGTACTTGGTCAGATTGTTGTGAAATTAGCTATAATATTTTGATTTGTATTTTTCTACAGTATCCTATGGAGTCGCCCGATTCCACTGGCCTGGTATTTCGCTCCTCAATGGGAGAGGCTCTGGGGTGAGCGGTGGCCACAATCTATGTGCAACAACTGGCTTCGCAATGACCGTTTCTTGAAAAACTTCGCTTCTCAAATTCCCATATGTCCCTGCACACTGGAACACGCTATACTTGACAAAGGTCGTTTCATGCCAGATTTACATTGCGACAGAGACACGAATCCAACCTGTAGATACCACTGGGGTGGTATACACTGTGTTAGGAGTGGAGGACCAAGGTATAATAAATTATGTTTTTTTATAAAAAGTTTGCCAATCATATTAAACTGGGACTTCATTATGTTATTTTCTTCTTTCGCGATCCTTACCATTTCATACATGGTAAAGGGATTAGCTTCTTACTTAAGCTTTGAAAGAGATCTTGGAAAGAGTTAAAGTCAGATTAGCGCCCTAAACGGACTCAAAATCATCAAAATATAAACTAAACAAACGGGTACACCTCATTCTAACTTGGTACCTATAGGCTATATTGTTCATTGTATTCTTTTATAGTGCTGAGGGATCAGGTCAACAGTGCTGCTACGACAAGAATGGATTCCTCATGCTGTCATACGACCAGATGTGGGGTTCCAGACCGCACCGATCGCACGATTTTGGCTTCACTCCATACAACGAAGCTAACAAGGTAAAAAACAGCTATATTATCGACGCAACCTTGACGTAAGATCTTAATTTTAAATCATGTTCGTCACTCTTATACTGATTTTTTTCTCAGGTCCCATCATTGTCTCATTGGTTCCATGATATGATTCCTTTCTACCAATGTTGCGCTTGGCAAGAAGAACAAGCGGTTGGCTGCGAAACATTTAGGTAATCAAAAAAATTTACTTTACTTTTGATCAAATAAAGTTTTCTTTTCAATAATTAACAAATTTTACTTTATTAGGTTTGAACGGCGACCATCTCAAGATTGTGTAGCTTACCAAGCCCCAGGAGTAGCAGGCATCTTTGGTGACCCTCACATTGTAACATTTGACGATCTTCATTACACTTTCAACGGCAAAGGTATTATTTTCATAATCCTTTATTTTGTATATAACCCATCTATTAACTATTTATGTATATGTGTCCATCTTAGAGTTTTAATATGGCTCTAGATAATAAGACATTTTCTTATTCTAGGTGAATACGTTCTGGTACGAGTAGATCAACCACACTTGAAACTGGATGTTCAAGGCAGATTTGAGCAAGTCCGCAGGAATATACATGGTGCAGTCAACGCCACTCATCTCACATCCATAGTTGCAGCATCTAACAACTCCGTGCCTATTGAGGTTCAAATACATTCTAAATTTAACGTCAAAAGAATCCAATAAATTCTTTTTGGAATCCTATTCAATAGATTTTTATCCTTCCGTAGATCTGAGTTTAATGTTTTATTTTCAGGTTCGTATCCGTCCAAGACATGCACAATGGAGATATAGGCTCGATGTTTTTGCTGACAATAAGCGTGTTTATTTTGATAGAACCGCTCTGAGAGTGCAATATTTCCCAGGTAAGTTATTAAATTTATTATCTCGAGTTCCTCCGTCCTTCGGATACGTTTTAAGACGTTGGTCCCGGCTGCATCTGAAGTCATTGTCATCTGAAGTCGGGACTGCATGGTGTGTCATGGGCCAAATTCCCAATTTCATCCTTAAGGAAGGCCTGTGCCTCCGCAGTAATTTAGCAGCATATTATAGGTTTATAATGATGGACTGTTTTTGCATTTCCTGAGGTTTTCCTTCTTAATTTTGCAGGCGTGACCGTATACCAACCTATGTATATTCTGAACCAGTCGGAAATCGTAATCATGTTCTCGTCTGGAGCTGGTGTGGAAATCGTGGAGAATAGAGGCTACATGACGGCCAGAGTTTACCTCCCTTGGACTTACATGGTGAGTATATACAAATACTTATTTTTTTTTACAATTACACTTGCGTTCTAAACATAATTTTGATTTTACTTCTTTGGCAGCTCGTCTTCCAGTATTGGCAATAATAAAAAAAAGAGATCTCTTTGAGCTGAGTTAAACTCTACTAAAAGCCTGGTGACAGAAATAGACAAACTGACCAAGGGGTGTCTTAATTGCACCTATACAATTTGTTCTATCTATGGTCTACAGATGAGATCCATCTATGGTGGAGCTACTTATTTCATTTGATTTTTATTACAATATTGTATGTTTAAGTATATATTTTTTTTACAAATTATACATAAATGTTTTTTTACAGAATCAAACGCTTGGTCTTTTTGGCAATTGGTCCCTTGACATAAACGATGACTTTACTAGACCTGATGGAACTCGTGTCCCGATTGATCTCAACAACTTCCAATCAGCACACAGAGACTTTGCGCAATATTGTAAGTTACTTTTAATTATTTTTTTAATTAATGACTCGCCAAGCGTAAACCGACGCAGAAGGGGATACTTAATAAAGAAATTAAACTTAATTCAATTCATATATAATCATCATGATTATAGGCTAATTTGGTAATTATGAACAACAATAAGTAATCAGAAATTCCCATATTGGCGCGGTTCTTAATTTTCCTTTTAAAATCTACTACGACAAACTCCAACTATTTTGTATAAAGACACCTTCACCTCCTCCTAAGGTTTTTACAGTAATAACCTAAACAGCGTATAATGTCATGCTTGAATAATGATGTTACGTGAGAAAACCAATTTTTTTCGAGAGTAACAACTGCAAACTTCTGTTTCTTCCTACTTTGATATTCTAAATCCAAATTTCGTTCACAGGGCAACTAACTGATCGCGAGCAAAAGGACATAGGAGTGGCGCTCTTCAGCAGGGAATACGGTCGAACAGCCGCCTACTACAATGACAACCTGTTCCAACCGAACTTCGTGCGAGAACCAGCAGAATTCCTCCCTCCAAACCGAACCCACGACGTCCTCAGAGCCATGGAGATTTGCCAGGACTCCTACCAATGCCGATACGATTACGGGATGACCCTGGATATAGACATGGCCACTTTTACGAAGAACTATCTGTCTTCACTTGTAAGTATCGTGATTTAAACAAACCATTGGAAAGTAGTGGAACATAACACTGGTAGACTGTAGTAGACAATGAAAATCTGATTTTGAACTATCTTTAATTAACTGTTAAAGCAGTGCAGTAGGCATATTCGCTAACTTTTTTGATATTTGCAGTGTTTAACTTGAAAATTGTAAATTTATCGATGCTTTAAAGGACAAGTATATTAGTAGCGTTATAATAAACCAGTAGTGGATCAGTAAATACATAGTTCGTTATCATCACTTCCACCTGCCAAAAACAGTTAGCAAATAGACCTACAGAAATATTATGAATATGGAACAATTCTCTTGAAATATGTATCGCACCATTTAATTTTGAAGGATTATGAAGCTAATGCTGCTACGATTTACCCTGAAAATGAAACTGATTATCACGATTATCCGGAATTCACATATTATAAGCACCTACTAAAATTCTGAAAACCCAGAAAGCTGGAAGCTTAGAACTACAAATGCAGAAATCAGTACCTTAGTTTTAGCAGAGATTGACGTGGTCTCTCTTTAATGATTATAAACAGTAAATTCAAAACATTTAGATTTTGAGACAATAAATTCTAAATTTTACTTACCATTTTAATCCTATAAATGAATTTTCAATTAAAACTATTACTCATTCTTAGTCTTAGTGACAAAAACATAGTAGGCTCATGAAATCGCGTGCGCATCTCAGATGCGTCCAGCCAATCCATTGTTCTTATAATTATAATGCAGAACCAAGGTCTCATGGGGCATTCATCCTTTTATGGTGATGCATTCAGTCTTAAAGTGTTAGCCCTTCTGTTTACATTTAATGAATACTTGGTAAAATTTCCTTATTAAATAATCGCATTAATATTTCTAGTTTTGAAAGAAAAAGGTTGTTCATGAAAAAATGTTCTGTAGGTGAATATAAAAGAACAGGCGAGACGAAGGGTTGTAAGTTGCGGCATTTTGGAGACTCCTCGGTTCGGAAGAAAGAGTAACTTTTTCTTCACACCCGGAACTAGGGTAAGTCTTAATATTTATCTTCACGTCATACAAAGCGCGGTCCATACACACATATTTCCCTTATTTTGCAATTGTAAATTGTTTTCATACATGCCCGACGGTTTTTGCGGCTCTTGACAACACTTCATCTTTTATAACGATGCACAAATTCAAATTAAACATACGCATTACAATAAAAAAACGAGCGAACCTTACAGTAGTCGCGTATGATGCGTAACATTTGAAATCTTACCTTATATAAGTAAAAAAAGAAATAAAACCTACTGCAAAAGGAATAAGCCATTTGAACATTATGTTCTTAATTCAAATCAAATAGCGCGCGCTTTCGCGACTTCCTGTTACACACTTCCGTCCCAGAAAGCGAGAGGAAAGAGGATGTTACACATCAATAAAAAAAACTTACACTGCTTTCATGAATATTGTTTTCTACTTACAATATCTAAAGTGTCTGTCTTTAACTTTAATAAATAAGAGTTATTAAAGTGCGAAGTATTCGTAATGCTTTTGCATCTAAATCGGCAGTTTGTCTCGATATTACACCATGTTCGGAACACCTTCCTTTACCTACCCCCCCTTCTTCTATCTACATATGGTCATCAAACATTCTTGTTCTATATATTATTATTGTAATACATACAAAAATAAATAATATAGAAAAAATCCGAAGAATTAAGTATTTGTAGTTTTTACTAAAAATTTTTTAGTACTTTACTAAACTAAGTACGTAATTACTTATCGGTAAAAATGTAACCTCTGCTATAACACCATTGTTTCATCGCCAGGTGAGCTTCGAGTGCAATCAGAACTTCATTCTCATCGGTGACAACCGCCGGGTTTGCGAGGCAGACGGACGCTGGAATCTTCCCGATTATGGCTATACTGAGTGCTTGCGTGAGTATACTGCCTTATTTTCCAAAATATATAATAAAGTGGCTTCAGTATGTACTACTTCTATTAAGACCTAAAAATCTTCTATCTACAATACGCTAATTTGATTTATGCGAATATCACTCTTATCTTTTTTCTTTCTGGCTAAACCAATTTGATTGTCAAGAGATAGTATGGTCATTGGAGAAGGATATTGGGGTGAAATACAGTATAAAAATTTGCATTTGCGGACTCCCGCTACTATTGACTATTAATTAAAAGTTAACAACATAACTAATTCCTTTATAGTAAGTAATTTCAACAAGAAGAAACAAAGATTTTCATTGACAGAATGTGCATGTTTTGATATACAGGCAACCAAGAGTACTCTCAACGCGCCCTGTTTCTAACTTGGGGCGTCATTCTGGCAATTATTCTACCTTTGGGACTGTTGATGTGCCTCTTGTGGTTTTGGTGCTACCAGAAGCCGAAGTCCGAAGGCAAAGAGACTTTCAGCTTCGCGGATATACCGCGATCCAAATCAGCCTCTCGACTTAATCTTAGATCAGCCTCCATGGGGAACATCACTGATACTATGAATTCATCTACATTACGTAGTCAGGACTCAGAGGAAAAACCAAAACTCCCTGATACTCCCGTTGAAGAATCTGCTCCAATTCTCAAAAGTAACAGGGCCGCTCCTCCTCCCCCTGAACCCCAAGATGGCGAAAGTTCAGGCCTAGGATACACGGACTCAAACAAAAGTGACTCTGGAAAATCAGACAAATCCTCCTTACCTAAAAAGCGACGTTATGACAAAACTTATAGAACACACGAGCCGCTACCCAACGCGCCCGATGTTGAATTCCCCGAGAAACTTTGGGACTTGTCTGAAGAGGACCTTCTCTCTTTAACATCTCCTTCTGAGTCAGACTCCAATCGAGACTCGACTCTGACCCGTCCCGCAAAAGATATAGAATACGTAAGCAAGCCGCGGCAACAGGGCCGTCATGCTCTCGCGAGTGACTCAGGGTATTCAACTAAAGACGGCTCCGAAGATCCTTACGGACGAAAGTACGATAACGCGTACAGTCCTATTCCGTCCCCCACTTATTCTGAGATTTATTCTCCTGCTATGAGTCCCACTTCCGACAGTCCCAGGAGTACGTTTAACAATCCCGGTTTACCGGAACCACCAAAGAGTGCTCCACCAACTGATGAGATTAAAACTTTCACACTTCCCCCGCAAAGAGGAAAGTCAGTAGAAACTTTGATTGACCCTCCTGTGGCTGAAATGCCAACATTTAGTAGCCGCTCAACTATGGTTTGAGATTTCGTTCTCTGAAAATCCCTTACATTTCTATCGAGCAATGATAATTCTTTTTAATAAGATGGTTAGATAGATATGTAGTTATTAGTATTAAATATACTTTGACCACCGCATACGCTCAGATAGTTTTAATTTAGACTGTACACTGCCCTCAAATGACATGTTATGGGAGTATCAGGGCGTTAGTTTTTTATATAGAAGTATTATAATTAGTATTATTACAAGGCACAATAACATTAGATTATTGCACTAAAATGTATACGTTTCTAGTATTTTTTTATATTGTTTTCTTTTTTTATCGTTTGTGCAGTTCAAACTTTTTATTTATTGATGTTACAATTATTTAGAGATTTTATTGAATAAATTATAAAAACTTGATTTATTTATAAATCACCATGAGAGGAAATTTCTGTTCCCAAAGGTAGAATAATATCGATATTGATTTAATTCTGATGTCTTTGTTTTTACTTCTGCAAAGGATCGATAAGAAAGCAAGAAATAAATTTAACAAACCACGTGTTGGTGGAATAGAAATTTTCTCTATCAAGTGATGTGTTTTATTTCGTAAAAAGTTACCTTTGTACATTGCTTGCTTTCTTATCTTGTATACACAATAGAATCTGGGTCACAAAATAAGGTGAGTAACTATTTTTTTATTTGCTTTGTTTCGAGATTATACCTAGTTGAGATAAATGTTCGTTATCAATATTTTTCGTGTCATTATAACTGCAAATTAATTTTGTTTCAGTTATAAAATAATTAGTAAATTTGCAAATCGTCTTCTCAACTTTTCTTCATTCAAAATTTATTCAATAAAACTTATTGTTTGTTTGTCCTGAGTGATCGATGTAATTTTTTAATATTTTTATAAACACGTTGCATCGCCGCTGCAATCTTTCAAATAAAAACTTGAAACTTTGTAGTACCTTGGTCCTCATCATCAAAAAGATTGATTTTTATAACATAATTTTCCAAAAACAATTTTGCAATTCCCAACAGGCAAACAAGAATATTCTTCACGAACGCTAGGTCTCACATGGGGCATCATTACCGCTGTAATGCTTCCCATAGTGATAGTGCTGATATGCGTCGGCTGGCGAATCCTCAAGCGAAGAAAGGCTGAGGAAAAGGAAGAGAATGACTTCTTAACCATCAAGTAAGATTTAAGTATCTACCTACTAGATATTTAAATCTAAAGAAAATTTTACTAAAAGAAAATCCATGCCGACCAGCAAAACAAATCAACATCTTGCAGTTAAATGCTTAAAAATAAAAATATAACTACAATTGCTATTTCTTCTTTCAAATGTTTAATACATGTAAAGGTATTCATTTGACATTGCGGGTTACCTACAATGCAAAAGATGGCGCTGCCTTGCAGCCTAAGAAATACTAGAAAAAAATTAACACGGCTATTAGGGTCGCTGTAGCATAATGGTCAGTGCATCCACCCGGATAGTGGAGGGTGCAGGTTCGAGTCCCGTTTAATGCCTGCCCGTGGATTTTTTTTAGTAAAATTTTCTTTACATTAAGCTTCTAACTACCTACTATTTTATAACTTACAGACAAGCATCCTCGTCTTGTGCTTCTAAATACTTATTATAGACATTGAACTTTTTTTGCTAGACCCTGAATATTAATACCAAATATCTTACTAAAAACATAATCCAAAAATAGCGTAAGTACTTAAATTTGGTATGGATTTTACTTAAAGAAGATCTACAGGTTGATGAAGCTCAAACCGAACACTAGCGTCGCTATATTATCTTTATCCATTTAAAGCATTATAAAATAACGATAATACAAGCAAATTTAAACAAGAAGCAATGGAACTTCTAATCGTAAAAATTAAGGTGAAGCGTATAGGCCATACAGAGATAAAAATGAGCATACAATACATCATTTGACGAGAGAAACAGTTTTAGCCACACTATCCTACTTATAACTAAAACTACTTATCACCAGGTCCCGCGCCATCGACCCGGACGAGTCGATGAAGATCAACTCCGACGACGAGAGCATTCCCTACAAGAAAGACTTACCCGAGGAGAGCCCTGAACCCACAGAGCCGGCTCTGGTGATCGACAGTCCTGCATCATCGGGTTATCCTTATGGGGAGGCGTATAACAGCCCTGGGTCTATGCCACCGCCTCCACCAATGGGGTTACAGCAGTCTTCGCCAATGGGATTGCAGCAATCTCCGACATTGGGGCTGCAGGAGCCGTCGACATTAGGGCTACCACAGAGCCGGCGGTGGGACGGCGAAACGGAGATAAATTAGAGATATTTTTTTCTAATATCGTTATTTAGGAGGATACACTTTTAATAAATAACCCATCGGATAACTTAGAATAGCGTTTATTTTTATTGTAGCATAAATAATTGAATATCTAGAATACAAATGATATCATAGTACATGGTAAAAAGTAAAATTTTATTTTAGAACCCTTTTATAATTTTAAAGTCCCGCGGTCCCGCAGCAATTAATTAAATCACATTTGGTTATTTCATAGTTTTCAGTGTTTTCGTTGTATGGACTTCAGTGAAACTTTCATTTCTAAGTTATTAGGTATTCAATTATTTTATTTAAGCGTCTAAAAATTTATAAATACAGCTTAAAAATGATTCAATGTGATAAAAAGTTATGAAGACTAGATAAAACCGAATAACCTCTTAGGAGTATATTTCTTAGAAAGCGGACATATTTTTTTCTATGTTTAAGTATTTATCCACCTAAAACGTTTTGAGTACCTAAGTACCTACCTACTTCAAAGTTGTGTCAGATGATCATGATATCAGCTATTCCGAGTTTTATATTAGATGTACGACAAAAGTCGTCAAATTTAAGATTACTTTTTGTGTAATGGTTTTTGAATAAATAAGAATAAAATAAGTAATTAGATGCATTTTATTTTGTATAATATCTATGTAATTCATTAATTTATAATAAGTAAAGCCATTTTTACACATTTAAATCGTATGAGTTGTAAGATGCCCTATTTTATATGAAAGAATTTCACGTTTTTTTTCCAACGCAGTCATTGCGTGCCATTGCGTAATCAGTACAAAATGAACATGACATTATCTCCCAAACCCCATTAAGGAATATTTTCCACCAAAAGTTTATAGTACCTATGTTTACCTTTACGTGACTTTAGTTGTGCAAAAATTAGTCAGTTTTATTAAATGGGAACCTATATTTCTAATTTAATTATTATACTTATGTAAGGTTTGATGTAAGTTTTAAATAAAAAGTACAAAGACAGGTTTTTTGTTTTTTTTTCCTATAGGTTATTGTTATTGTTATTATTTTACCTACCTATACACTTGAAGCTTCAAATCTAGTTGACTATTTTCAATACGGTAGTGTCCATCAAGTCCATATTCCTATCATTGATAGTTACATTGGTTTGTGTCTGCTTAACATTGGATAATATTTTTTTAATCATTTAATTTTAGTTTTACCTTCATTAAGAAGTAATTTATTAGCATTAAACCAGTGAACTACTTTAGAGATGGCATTGTTCACATCGTCAAAAAGTGGTTGCTTTCGTTTAATTTTAAATAAAAGTGAAGTATCATCTCCAAACAACACTATCTCGTGATGTTCAATAACAAAGAAAGGTAAGTCATTTATTTAAATTTAAAACAAGAATGGACTAAGAATCGAGCCCTGAGGAACACCCATCTTTACTAATGACCGGGAAATCTTTTGCCATTCATGTCGAGTGGTTGCTAAGTTTTTTTTTTTATTTAGGGATCCGTTTGTGAAGTTTTAAACCTTATAGTGCAATTTTTTGTATGAGTAGGTCCCCCGCCCCTCTAAAAGCTATAAACTATTGGCTTGAAAATTTAGAAAAAAATATTTTTTAATAGTGCTTTTTATGAACTTTCAAATTATGACGGTAAAGATAGATCAATTAGTTTAAGAGTAATAGTCGTTAAACTTAGGTTATATAATTTCTTATGTAATAAAAATGCCATAGAAGAATACTTTATAAGTGACTTAAATAAAGTAATTGTTTGCGTATATCGCGTAAAACCTTGAATTGAAAAACAAAATTAAAAAAAACTATTTAAATAAAATTCTTAATGGAACCCTACACTGCACGTGGTACGACACGCACTTGGCCGGTTTTTATTGGATAGGGTATAACATGCGTAAGCATCTAATAGTCTGTGGGTATAACTCAAAGTTGGTCCTAGATTGGAAACAAAAATCCTACACTAAGGATTCTGATTCCGAGTTGTATATTACAAAAATTATAGGCACAAAAACTAATAACTACTCACAGAAAATAAGATTTTTTTTATCTTTAGTCAAATTAATATTTGGAGTCGGTGCCATATCAATGCCATTCCAATCCAAGTAGTAAATGGGAACTCAGATCTATCAGACATGCTTAGCACCGACTCCAAATATTAATTTGACTAAAGTTAAAAAGGGTTTATTATTTACATCTTTTTAGTTTTTTCGAAGTTTTAGTTTTTTGGAGTTTACTCCTTAAGAATCGATTTGCATTGCATATATAAGGGGCCCGGTATGAGAAAAATGTGAGGAGTAAAATCTATCGATGAATGACCTCGTTACGTTTTTGGTGCGCATCCTGTTCGAGCCAAAATGACTCTTAAATCTAGAGATGTAATGACTCGACTTTTCAAACCGGTTCAAACCGGTTTGAGCATAGACCGAGTTGCATCGGTTAACGTCTTCGTAAACCGGTTTATCGTGGCATTCGTTTGCGTCGCGCTGCGCGCATGTCAATTCTTGTTTATGCCGTCATCCACAAATCGCGCGCGGCTCCTGAGGTGCTTTACCGACCGAACAAAATTTGATCGACCAATACGAACCGACTTACAACAGCGGATACGTTTAGCGCGCTTCGTCAATTTAAATACAACAACCACCGACTTACCGACCGAACCGAAGTGAAACGAACTCTGGTAGACTTGACGGTGTAGTTTTGTTTTCATTATTATCTAATATGCGACATAATCGCCTAGCTTCTAAAAAAGTAGACCAAATACTATTCCTTAATAGTTGTAAGAAAACTTTTTAATTAAGTTGTTTATAGCAAGTTAAGTTTCTACGACTCAAATGATTTTACTAAGATACGTTACGTATTTATTATATTGTTGATTATTAAAATTATATTTTTTTCTCAAAGTTAAGAAGTACAGTTTCAAATAATTAATAGAGTTTATATATTTTTTAGTAATTTTATAAACACGGAATTACATAGATATCTGATATAATTTATATTTTTTTATTTCGACATTTTTAATTCTGATTTTTCAATTACCTTTAAATATTTGCACGTTGTAATATGAACAAAATATGTAGAATAAAAAAAATATAACACCTGTTGTTTCGTAAGCTTCATTCGTCAACTCGCCAAACGGTTCAAACCGGTTCGGAAACCGATTTGCATGTATTGCTAACCGATCAATCCGGTTTTTCAAAATTAAAAACCGTAACATCGCTACAATTTTAAGTTAAATCCGAGAGCTTAGGTGCAAAAGAATTAAATTGAAACTACAGTGTATTTTGTTAGACCACAGATTTCTTTATTAGTTATAGGAGTGGGCGATACAAATCGTATATAGATATTGAAACGTATATTGCATCAATATCGTCAAATCCGATATCAATGCGTTCTGAAACTATATATTTTGGCAAAACATTATATTGCATTGGGAATGTGATACGCGTTGACAGTACTGTATCGTATATAGACTGTTTAAAGTTTATTGAACCTTATCACAATGGAATATGAGCGCGATCATCGCCAAGTGGGAGTAGAGGGAGAGCGTATGATGAGATGAGAGTGAAACAGCAATAGTTACGAATTACGATGCAACGCATACTGCAATTTTTCTGATTCTGAAATCGGATTCTGTAATGATATATGATTGATATGGTCGTCAGCGATATCACCGATATCAAAATATATAGTTTCAGAATCCGATTTCGCATATCGATATATAGTTTCGATTTGATTCAGACAAAAAGCTATATTACCCTCCTCTAATTAGTTAGGTGAGGTTTTGCCTATATATAGCTCCAAACATATTTACAAGCGTGATGCAATGAACTACAGCGCCATCTATTTTGATACATATGAACTAAAATTTTAAATGCACAAATGGCGTATACATAATCGCCCACCAAGGACAAACTGAAATTTGTCCTTACAAATATTTAACTTAACAACATGACTCTGTTATCGCCCACCATGACTTACGGTAACAAAACAAATAAAAACACAAAGATGTACAATAACTTAAAATAACAAATTTTCATTTTAACAGAACATATATTATTTTTGGAGTTTACTCCTAGTAATTAATTGATTTAATTAATATTTAAAAAAAAAGGTAAATTTGAAAAATCAAAAAACCCGACTGCTTAATTATACTTCAAATAAAAACTGAAAAGAAAAAAACAAGTCCAGTAGTCTATAATTCTGTTAATAAGGAACAAAGCTACTTTAACAGTCGGGACCCATTAGATATTCAAGAGTACATAATATTTTTCAACAGTGGGTCCCGACTGTTAAAGTAGCTTTGTTCCTTATTAACAGAATTATAGACTACTGGACTTGTTTTTTTCTTTTCATTATTCAATATTAATTCATCATAAAGTAGCTACATTATTTATTATTACATTTTTCTTTATTTAAATACATTTTGTCCGAGTGACATAGGCTATATTTTATCCCGATAAATAAATTTCGCCCGTACAATGCCCGGGTGGATCATTAGTAAGTATAATATAATATTATAGATGCGAAAGTGAGTTTGTTTGTTGCGCTTCCATGCCCTAATAGCTAAATCGAATATAATGAATTCCCATATAGAAGTAGATGGGAACTTGGTTCTTAGCTACAACATCGCAATTCTTATAGGCGTAGGGTGATAAAAGGGATGATTTACCTATAAAAATCTACATTATTTACTTTGAATTTTGCAGAATTATTACAAAACCAATATAATCGGGAGCTGATTAATAAATACAGCGATTCCAATAACTTACGTATGTACTTACTAGCGAAAAATGAGTTATTTGTCATTATATTAAGTAAACCTTTTTTGTAACATTAAGTAATATCGTTAATAAAATGAAAAACAGTAAAATTCAATAATCATAAATACCTATTATCGTTATATATTTTTCATCATTTAATAAGAAGGAACTGTATCACAGTTTTATTGTTAGTGCTTCGTATAGGATCAGATACTGCGAATAGCCCGTTTTTTTTTCTTTTACATAGTACACCGCACTATCACTTTGTCATCGTTGTAACTTTTTAAATATTTGTCGAACTGACATAGTGTAAAAAGCAAAGTTTATCGTCTTTAAATATCAAAAGCGATAAAAGTATTTGTTTTGATAAAAAATGATTTGTTAATACAAAATGTGCATTTTGGAAATAGATATCAAATAATATTTTAGTTTTGATTCACTATTTTAGCGGTAATGACTTACACATTAAAAATAGATATATGGTGTTACGGACTTTTTTTTAGAACTATTTAAGAGATACATTTTCACTCTACATTACATTCATGTAACTTTTATTGTTTTTGCAGTGCAGGCCAAAATGGCTCGCAGATGGGAGATTTTTTTCCGTCTTATGTGACACTTATTGTTATATATTGGCCAATTCACTCAATAACTACATAAATTATTATATATATGTAATTATCATATATGAGCTATATTACTGTTAAGTTTCATTAAAATCCATTCAGTATTTTTTAGGTGAAAGAGTAACAAAGATCCATATAAACGTAACATTGAAATTAAAAGCGTAAGTGGTTAATATACAACTTTAAAGCGTTGTAGATCCTAAACAATCATATTAAATGAAAAATGGTGTGAGAAACCTAAATATGATTTTTGATTATCTAGACAGTGATACCCCACTCGACATATTTTGTCAACCTATTTTTTTTACTTCGTCACAATATGGCGCCCAATTTTGCCTACATTGAATTTTAATTACTATCATATCTTTAGTAGCACTCCCATAATTGAGACGAATCGATTGATGTATGAATCATCAAAATCGGTCCAGGCGTTTGGTCTCTAGTGTGCCACAAAGGAACAAACATACATATATACTGTTAAGCACATAACCTTGTCTGCGCGTCGCGGTTCGCGCTCTTGCATTGCGCCGCCGCACTATGTGGAGGTGCCTAAGAGAGCTTGGCCATAAATACATTTTGTAAAAATCGGCGCAGGTACTTGTATTATACCTCA